AAAGGAGTGAGTATATATATATATATATATATATATATATATATATATATATATTTATTTATTTATTTATTTATTTATTTATTTATCGAATAAACTTTAATAACTCAACACTTGTTATACTTTTCTTTAAAAATAAAAAAATAAAAAATAAAAGAAGAAGAAGAAAAAAAAAACAAGACAAAGCAACAGATTAAATCTCTTACTAATTTTACACTCATTCGAGATTAGGTATCGTTTTCCATTAAAATGTTTTTGGAGGGTTTTGATTTCTGTGCTTATAAAAATATTTAATGCACATATACCTTTTAATTTTTAACAACTAATTAATCTATACCAACAATATATTCAGTCATATAATTAAAAGTAAATCATTATATATGTCAAAATTTGAGTACTTATATATGAAGAGAGAGAGATGGGATAATTAACCATAGCCATACAGATCGACTCTAACAAAGAGTTAAAACATATAAATAAGTTAATAATAAATATTTTTATAAAAAATAAGCTACAAACTTACTTTGTCCCTACCGTTTTTGATTAATCGAGTCAAGTCTTGTTAAATAAAGGCCACGCAGAATAGGTCAATCATGATATAAATTATAAAGTACTTGCAACTTGCATATATATGCTAGTCTAATTCATCGTGCGTACATTCACACATGCATTATTATAATTTATAACGCGGCTTTGAGAGTCAAGTCTTCGTCAATAAATGATTTCACATCATTAATTTGGCCTTTTTAGTAGTTTATTTAAAAGAGAGACTCAATTATTCTAAAAATAAGTTTATTTAAATTTATTTAATTTAATAACTTATATTTTTATGTTAAATTTTAACGATTTAATTATTAAATTAAAAGTTTTTAATATATAAATTAAGTTTATCAATTGTAAAAGATTTAATTTTTTATTTTATTAATTCAAAATGAAAGATAATCATAAAAGTATTTTATAGGTTGATTTGAATTAATAAAAAATAAAATATTAAATAATTTTTAAAATTTTAAAAAATTTACATATTTAATTTATTTATAATTTTTTTTAATTGTACGATTAAGTTATTAAAATATAATTTACGATATAAATTATTAAGTAAAATAAATTTAAATATATTTATTCTTCAAATAATTAGATCTCTGTTTATATATATGTTTAGATAAAATTATAAGAAACACTTCTAAAAGCTTCTCTTTTAAAAATAAAAAATACTTTTTAATAAATAAACTCTAAAAAATATTTCTAAATTTATATTAAAATACACTATATTTAAATTATGAGAAAGCTAACAAGTTAAAATTTTGATAGTACAATTAAATCCCAACTGCATAAGCTGTCATGTGGAAGACAAAAAAACCAAGTCCCCATCTACCCTGTCCAATGTCCATATCGTTAGGCATGTACAGTTGTTCGACCGAACAACAAGTATAAAAGCAAAATAGGCCACATGGTCCCTAGCTAACTTTCACTATAATTCGTACATATAAATTTTTTATAAACTTCAGTTTTAAATCTATAGTTAATCTATAGTTTTAATTATGATTATTTACTCAAACTTCAAATTAGGCTCATTTGCATTTACAATCTCCTTATAATATTTAATAGTTAATTTTGGTCTCAATTCTAATATTTTAGTTTTCTAATTTTATAAAATTTATAATTTTAAATTAATCATTAAATATTAATTAAAATTTATAATATTAATTTGGAACCAAAACTAATAGATGATATAAAAATTAATATTTTATTAATAATATATAGTCAAATATTACTTTTATTTTTATTTTTTCTATTTTCTTATTTTCGAATCGTTTTTGTGAGATAATATTAGTATAATTTAATTAAAATATTATTAAATATTAATTATCAAGTTATCTATTAGATATAATGACATTAAATATTTTCTTTAACCTGTAGAACAATAATATCATGTACAATTTTTCTAAGAACCGAAAGTCGAACTTGGTTATTTCTCATCTTGAATTAGGGGTCTAAATGTTATAATATTATTGGCCATCAAAGCATAAAGCATGCATTTGCTTCCAACTCATGGATGGTTTCACCCTTTGATTGAAAGTAAGTAAGTTACAGCCCTCACCACCCTCAAGAAGCAACTCATAGTATAAAGCAACTATTAGGGTTTGAAAATCATACTCTACATGATATAAAGGAAAAGGTGGAGGAAAGTTGGCATGACAATAAGCTACTGACAAAGCTTCTATTGAAGTTGTTTGTTCACCTTCATCATCGCCACCATTGGAAGCGTTTGCATCAGTGACACTTAAAAGGGTAGCATAGCTGAATTTCTTTCTCAACTTATTAGTCAAGCAAACAGAATCGATTCCATCTCCTGTCACCACCACTTGATCTCTGCTTTCACCTCCTAATGACACCGAATGCACACCTGTGTTGTATGCAAATATATGTGTTTAATTACAACCACTAATTTAGACTTGAAGTTAATATCTGAAGTGAAGTTACTAATTAATAATAAACGGAAACGTGACATGCACCTTGAACGATTGCAGCAATTTTCAGTGCCTTGCTTCTGCATTTATCACTCTGCATGTGCACCTGGATTACTATTTTCTGTGGAACCAAGGAAGAATTTTATTATTTATGGAACCAAATTGTATATAGTCTATGTAATGCAATTAATGATCAATACAAGTGAGCTCACCTTGCATGTTTGATAATTTAAAACAGAATATAGAGCTAGTTAGTTAGCTAGTGATACGTTTGCCTTCTGGGATGTTTTGGTTTTTCGGGGTAGAGTGCGATTCACTATTCAGAGACCGTATATATATATCTGCGTAGTTTATATATATGATTTACAATTGGCTAATAGTATAAAAATTTGTTTTAAAAATAAATTTTTATCAGTCTTTTTTTTTTTTTTTCTGTATTATTTTTGTTGACCCAGAGCAAACAGGTTACGCATGCCATGGAAAGTAGTTGATTAATTTCTATGATTTCAGTCTGAAATCATTATTCATTTTAAACTTGTGATGGGAGATTAGGTGACGTTTAACGTTAAAATATTGTGTTTGGTTGGAAATTGAATGAAGTATATAGAGGCTAAGGAAAGCGAATGATTGGAAATTGTAGATAGGAAAACCGAAAAGCGTGGACTCACTTTGAAAGACTTGGTCTCCTGTTTATTTTAAATTCGATCGAATTGATTCTTTCAGACTATATTAGACATGTGTTATTTTTTTTTTTTTTAGGGGAAGGGAGGAAAACAAATTCCTAGTAGTTAAATGGAGTGTTCTTATTATAATTATAACCTATTAAGGTTAGGAGACAATTATATTTGTTTGTTAAGCTATTAAGGTTAGGTTTGTTTCCCCTACAGTTTTCTTAAGGAATGGTAGTTAAAGTGCACTTTTGGTTCTCTATATATAATATTAAATATGTAATTTTAGTTTTTTTATCTTATAAAATTTATAATTTTTGTCCTGTGTGTACATTTATTAATCGTTAAAATTATAATATTTATCATAATTTAATATTAGATAAATAACAAAATAATTAATTTTTAATAATATTTAGATTAAATTACATTTTTAGTTTTAATGATCATTTTTATTTCATTTTACAACCTTTATATTATAAAATTAAAAATTACAAGTGAAAATTAGTTTTAATATTAATTATGAAATACTAATTGCTATGTCATTTATTCAATTTTAAATCATAACTAACATCATCATTTTAACGATTAACATATTAATATTCATTAAGAGAATTAAATTTGTAAATCTTATAAAATTGAAAGATTAAAATTGTCATGATAAAAATAGAGAGACCAGGGATGGAACTAGAAAAAATTAACAATTATCATTGATAAAATGTTAGTTTAATAGAAAAAACACAGATTTAAATTAGTCCTTATAAAATGAGTGAATTTTGATTTGGGTCCTTTAAAATTTTTCTTTATTTTTTATCTTTCTAAAATTTGTAAATATTATTTTTGTTTCTTGTAAAATATTTTTGGTCCTTATGAAATGAGTAAATTTTGATTTTAATCCCTTTAAAATATTTTTCTTTTTCATTTTTATCACTTTAAAATCTAAAATAACCATTTTTGGTCCCTAACAATGATTTAAGACAAATAAATGACATTTATTTTAAGAACTTATAAAATAATTTTTAAGTATCAAACATTAACATAATACTAATAACAGTTATAACTAAAATATAAAATAGTCACTTAAACTTTTAGTAAATATATAAGTAGTTAAAAATGATTATACAATAACAAATAAAAATTTTAGGAACCAAAATTACATATTTACAAAATTATAGAGTCCAAAAATAAATTTGACACATTTATAATATGATAATAATATAATAAATTATAAATATATATTATATAACATTGCGCTATAAGCAAAACATTATAATATATATTATAAATGTTTATATAATAATATATTAAAAAGTATTGATTGTTTATTATTGAAAGTCCTCTCATAAGTCTATTATTGTCTATGGATGTACACAACCCTAAATATATATATGGTTTGTTGCTTACAGAAACTTTGAGTGGGAGAAATATTGAGGAGAGAGCGACCCGTACGTGATGACCGGGGAAAGACTTCATACATACTTTTTTTTTTTTTTTTTTTTTT